AAACTTCTTGGTGACTCTCCATACAATGTTAGCTCAAGAAAGAAAATGAATGCAAGAACGGAAAAAAGAAAGAAGAAAAAAAAAAAAAAAAAAAAAAAAAAAAACTAAACCTAATTTCCTTGGGTTGCCTCCCAAGAAGCGCTATGTTTTACATCTTTATCTTGATGCCACATACCGTTACGCGTCGAAGTATATGAGGATTGGGACCGCACCATGCGTCCTATCTACTTTAATTTTGAGATATGCCCCTAAGTGTTGGGCATTCTCAAATTCTCTTAAGGAGAGATGATACACATACCTTTTTATGGTTTTGCCCAATGGTGGCTCAAGGGATGTGGCATCTAAGTCGTTTTTCCTTTCCTCTCTTTGGTTGTGCTTCTCTCTTCCTTTTTCTAAAATTTCTATCCTTATTCCTCCCTCACTTTTTATATTAGCCTTCTCAACTCCACCATTTTCACTATAAGTGCTACTTCCCACAACACAATTGTTGTTGCCAAAAGTGACAACATCATGCATTCTCCCAATTTATCTACACCATCGAAAGTAAAATTACCACATTCCTCATGATCAAGTAAATCATTAATACATGAATAAAAATACACATTATCACAATCATCAAGAGAGTCATTATCAAAAGTATGAAAGGAGATATTATCACAATCACCTATGGATCCAAAGGAATCATCATTACGAAAGTATAAGCAATTATTTCGACATGATTCAAGAGTAGCATCATCAAGAGAGTGAGCATAAGTATTTTCGAATATAAAGGCATAAGGAGGATCAAGAAGTTTACCACCCGTAGAAGCAATTATACCCTCATTTAGATCTTCGTCCTCCCACATGATCTCAATCTCCTCATCACTTGAGCTCTCCCTTCTATTCCTTCTTGATTTTCCAATTCGTGAATTGGAACTTCTTCAAGCACCAGGGCTTCATTTCTACTCTTTAAAGTGGCGGCTTCGGCCTCCAATTGGATCCTTCTTCAGATTTCTCCTATCATCCACGCAATCATGGTTTCCATTATCTTTAATGGTTGCAAAGTTTCCTCTCGGTATGCGGACATTTCTTCTTCAATTTCTCTCTTGACTTCGGCTTTGAGATTAGCCAAGTCTTCCCGAGCCTCTCGAATGAACTCTTGGAGTCTCCACTCGAGGTTTTCACGTTCTTCATCAAATGGGATTAAGGATTGGTTAGCATAGTCCGGTTCATTCCAAGGTAGAGGATGGTAGGGGTAATATGGTTCATGTTTTTCATAACACAATGGTGTGGGTGGGTGGGGTGGATATTTAGGTGGGATGTTTTTTTTGTGGGAATAACAAGGTCGGACAAGGATTGGTTTTTCGTAGAAATCATCGAATAGAGAATACATCTTTTAGGATCACCTATAAAGCGCAAGAGGAAAGAAAAAAAGGTCCTTCCAAATAGAAGTAGTTGCTTGTGAGCAAGTATGATATGCAACAAGTTTATGCTCACTTTCAAATCAATCAACAAGATATAATATGTACAAAAAAAAAAAAATGAAATCACAAGATAGCACAATGACCAAAATGATGGAAATAACAACACAATGGATTCATAAGAAGACACAATGAGATACAATGGGGAGTACAAATATGCAGCTCATTCTAACAACACAACATCCAAAACCGTTGCCGGCGCCATTTTGATAGCGTGTAATTTAGCGGTGGATGGAAAGTAGGGTGGAGAATGAAGATTCTTCCGGATGTCGCTCTCACAGGATGGACACTTGGAATTGAATATTGTATTAGCAAGCACAAGCACACAAGTGCACAAGGAAGCTACGGGGAAACATTATACAAAAGGAGGTAGGGAGAGAACATAACAAAGAGAACAATATAACAAGGAAAATAAAGCGGGGAGTTGGATTGAGTCACTGGACATTATCCATGCTTTGGACTAAGGTGGATTTGGTGTACTGTAATGCAATTATAACTCACTTTTGGGAGTAGTGAGAAGGACTACAAGTGTCCAAAAAATAATAATTTGGGATGTTAAATGACAAAAACAATAGTCTGGGACTAAATTTAGAATTGCCACAAAAAACAATGGACCTCTGGTGGAATTAACTCAATTTATGTATATTAGTAAGTAACTTTTACAAACTAGCAGAAGTAACTTCATTGCACAAGACGGGGATAAATAATGAAGACAAAGACAATGACAAACTTTAGGGGTGTTCAATCAGTTAATCGTTCGGTTAACCGAACCGAATTAATCGAACTTTTTAAACCTTTAACCGTTAACCGAACCAAAGTTTGTGTTACCAAATAAACCGAATCAAATTTTTTTTCGGTTAACCGATTAACTAAACTTTTAAGCTAAAATTTAAAATCCAAAAAATCACCTAAAATAATAAATCTAATTAAAATAAAATACATATCATAATAAATTCATCCCTAACTTCAAATCTTCAATAAAAAATGCAAAGTCTAAACATTCATAGTCCATTATATATTTATATTAGTATTACACAATTACTATTTTTAATTAATTAATTAATTAATTATTTATATATATATATATATTAAAAACTTTGGTTAACCGACCTTTCGAACCAAATTAACTGTTAACCAAAATTTTCAAATTCCTTTAACCATTAATCGAACCAAAAAAGTTCGGTTAAAAATGGTTAACTGAACTTTTTCGGTTCGGTCGGTTAACCGAAAATTCTCCAAAGTTTGCACACCCCTAACAAACTTATCCAAAAGTAAATTAACAAAACTTAGATTAATTCAACTAAAAGTAATATCTACTACCTAATACCATATCAACTACAATAAGTATTTAGATAATTATTTTTTAAAAAGCGCCAACATTAATTGTAATGCCAACTATAATGAACTTCTCATATATAATCTTGAATTGATATGCTTTAAATTACTTATTTAAATACAAACATTGGGCATTAAATCAGTCGTGCTATGTGTGTATAAAAACTAGTATATTTATACACATACATATGTGTGTGTGTGTGTATTAAAATTTCATATTTAATGTATAGACAATGACCTTTTTTACTTTTTTTTCTCCCTTATTTTTGATTCAATTGCTCAAAACTAGATGAGTAAAATTGTAATGAGTTTTGTAATTATTACAAGATTTGATTCAAATAGTAAAATAACAAAAGTAAACAAACAAATATGATAATAGATATCAAAACCCAAAACACAAAATAGGGTGCAAAAGTCTCAAACCAAACACCACTTTATTTTCATGAAATTTGAGGTATTCATTGTAAATTAAAACAAATTCTTTATTGATTGAGAAAGTATAGAATATATACTACCTTTTAAAGAATCATGAGTGTTTCGAAAAATATTTTTCTATTGCCAACAGGTCAACTACTATGTAGTGTGATGACACATCTATTAACATTTTAAATGAATTTAAAACATATCTTACCTTGTCAGGGCATGTCCTGGCCATGCCAAACCAGCACGAACGCACAAGGCCTCAAATTTTTGGGGGCCGAATTTTTTTTAAAAATATTATAGATATAATTTATTTTTTTATACTTGGTAAATTTTTATTTTTTTTTTGAATTCATAGATTGGTCTTAATTGTAATTGAAAATAAAACTTTAGAATGAATTAACATTGAAATTTTGGTGAATAATTTTTGTATTTAAATATGAATGAAAAATGACACTATTAAATTAACTTTTGAATTGTATTCTTTCTTTGTTAAATATTGATGCATTATAGTAGGGTTTTCTCTCCCTGGTATCTAGGGTTTTCTTTCTTCCTCCATGGTATCTAGGGTTTTCTGTGATTTTGCATGTTGCTTCGTAATTACCTCTTATGTTCTTGTCGAACTTGTTGTTCGATTTCTGGTTTCTTTGTGCTCTTGCATGGACGTTCAGGACATTATTGCTAGCACGGCACACATCTCTTCGGAGGTTGAGGAGGCTGGCTTCCGTTTTGATGAGGATCCGGCTACTGACCTAGCGCGGGAGGCGTCACGGCAATACTGGACGTTGGTCGGTAGGTTCCTGACTGATAGGAACGTCAAGTTCGACATGATGCGTCAGGTTTGACCGACTGTTTGGCGGCCGCTCACGGGGTTTCAGGTGGCAGAGGTTCAACCGAATCTTTATACGTTTATTTTTTTTCATGAGTCGGACATGAGACGAGTGATCGAAGATAGCCCCTGGGCGTTCGAGAATGCTACGCTGATCTGCCAGCCTTTACCGCCCGGTGATCACCCTTTGCAGGTTCCCCTGAACACTATTGACTTTTGGGTTCAAGTCTACGATATCCCGGTAGAGTACCGAACCGACAAGGTCCTGGAGAAAATTGGAGACTACCTTGGTGTGTTTATTCGGTTGGACGAGTGGAATTTCATGTGACTATGGACAACTTTCTATCGAATCAGAGTTACGGTAGAGGTATCTAAGCCCTTGAAGAGGCGGATGAAAATGGTCAAACGGGATAATTCTTGGTCCTGGATCAACTTCAAATACGAATGGCTCCACATGTTCTGCTACTTCTGTGGTAAGCTCGGGCGCTCTGAAAAATTCTGTTTGGCGGCTAGGGAATCCTCTCTAGCTCCGGATCAATACCCGTTCAGCAGTTGGATGAAGGCGGGTAGTACCAGGGGGGCTTTGTCTGTTGGAGAAAGATGGTTGCAGGAAGGGGATATGAGGCTTTTTGAGATAGAGGCAAAGGCTTCGCCTACTACTGGAGTGCGTCCGATCTCGACGCACTATTCTCCCAGCATTGAGAGAGGGCGTGATGATTTACATGTTAACTGGCCTGAGGCTTCTCCCATCTCTGGCTTACTACCTCATGAGCAGCTTCATTCTACTAGAATATTACAGCGGGAGGAGGTTGATGATGGTGTGCGTGTGGATCCAAAAAGAAGGAGGGGGTGAGTGAACTGGTTGCTACTAGGGTGGAGGAGGGTGGCAAGGAGATGCAGATTGAGGATAATTCTTTGTGTTTGGCGGAACCTGGACCTCAGGCCCGCCCATCCCAATGAGTACCTTAAGCTGGAACTGCCGTGGCTTGGGCAATCCACAGACGGTTCGTGAGGTAGTGAACCTTGTGTCCAAGAAGAAGCCCGAGTTTGTGTTCCTGCTGGACACGAAAGTTGATAGGAGTCATGTAGAGAGACTGCGTGTGAAGTTGGGATGGGAAGGATGTTTTTGCGTTGATAGTTTGGGGTTGAAGGGCGATCTGTGTTTACTTTGGGCCAAGAATAATATTGCTCGTTTAATTAGTTTCTCACGTAATCATATTGATCTGGTTGTGACGCTCCCCAATAGACATCATTGGAGGCTTACGTGTTACTATGGTTACCCGGAGAATACGAGACGGCGAGATGCCTGGAATTTCCTAAAGTCACTTAAGGGGGCTTCTAATTTACCCTGGGTGGTTTTGGGTGATTTTAATGATTTACTAACTCAGGCTGATAAGAGGGGTCATTTGCCCCACCCGAATGGATTGATTGATGGATTTAGGGAGGCTTTAGCAGTTTGTATTTTATCGACTATGCCCATGTTAGGCTACCCGTTTACTTGGGAGGGGGGCAGGGGTACAGTTGATTGGGTGGAGGAAAGACTCGATAGAGTGGTAACGGATGTGGAGTGGCTAGCTGGGAATGACAAGGCCAGATTGTATAATATCCAGACCTTAAATTCGAACCATTCTGCGTTATTTCTGGATATCTACAGTACTCATGGGGCTGTGCAGTTACGTAGCTTTCGGTTTGAAAATGCTTGGTTACTGGATGATGGTTGTAGGGAGGTGGTGGTAGGGGAATGGACCCATTCTGCCGGACAGCATTTACAGTATCGGCATGTGAGTTGTGGTCGTGGCCTTAAAAGGTGGGGGGCGAACATTTTCATAAGTATGGCTCCAGGATCGAAGCCTTGAGAAGAGAGCTCAATATGCTTAGAGGTCACTACAGTGTGGAGCCCCTCGAAAGGGTCAAGCAACTTGACGGCCAGCTGAATACAATCCTTACACAGGAGGAGGCCTTTTGGAAGCAAAGGGAAAAGCAGCACTGGCTACATGGGGCGGATCGAAACACCAAGTTCTTTCACAGGTATGCATCTTACCGTAAGAAAAAGAATGTTATTTTAAAGCTCAGATCTGATGAGGGGGATTGGGTAGAGGGTAATGGTTTGCCTGCTATTGTCACTGATTATTATAGGAAAATCTTTACCTCTGAGGGTCACTCGGGTAAGTTTCACGTGGACACCTTGCAGCCCCGTGTGACTTTAGAGCAGAATGAATCCCTCATTCACCCCTTTGAACCGGCTGAAGTTAAATGGGCTTTATTCTCTATGGGAAAGGACAAGTTTCCCAGACCAGATGGAATGAAACCTGGTTTCTACTAGGACTTTTGGGATGTTGTGGGTTCAGATGTTACGGATTTTGTTCTTGGTTGTTTATCCCACTCATCTTTTCCTACTAGTTTAAAGGATGCAAATATTGTTCTGATCCCCAAAAAGTTAACCCCGAAAGTGGTCTCTGTTTTGAGGCCGATAGCCCTGTGTAATGTGTTGTATAAGGTTATGGCCAAGATGATTGCAAACAGGATGAAACCCCTCCTTGAGTCTATTATTTCGGAATCTCAGAGTGCCTTCCTTCCAGGTAGATTGATCAAGGATAATATTCTAATTGCCTCTGAAGTTGGTCATTATCTGAGGAGGAAGCAGTTGGGCCAGGTTGGTTGGGCTGCCTTAAAATTGGATATGGCTAAAGCTTATGATAGGATGGAGTGGTCGTTTGTTAGAGATATGCTCTTGGGATTGGGGTTCGATGAGAAGTGGGTCAGACTTATTATGGTATGTGTTAACTCAGTAAAGTACAAGGTTTTGGTGAATGGAAAACCCAACGATGTCATTGCCCCATATAGGGGTTTGAGGCAGGGGGATCCCTTATCTTCGTATCTACTCATTATTTGTGCAAAAGGCTTATCTTTTGTTATTGAAGGATGCCCACGCTAAGAGTCTAATCCATGGTTGTTGAGTGGTTCGTGAGGCTCCCCCTATATCCCACTTATTCTTTGTAGATGATAGTCTCCTGTTCTTCAAGGCTAATATGAAGGAAACTTTGGAAATAAAGAGATGCCTACAACTCTATGACTATTTTTGCGGAAGAAGGCCATGAAGAGGAAGCGGAAGTGGGAAAAGTTGCCGAGGTTGAGGAAAGTGATCCGGAGAGTGAAGAGAACCGAAGGAGGAGAGAAGCCCGAACCAAGAGAGAGCACGATGTTATGACGCACGAGGAGCGTGTAGTCACCCTTCTACGCCAGCAAAACCAGATGTTAGCAGAGGGCTTTGCTTTTATGAAGACGCAGTTCGTGGCAGTTCACCAGAGGTTAGATCAGATAGAGGCCAGCTCGAGCTGAAGAGGAGATGAAGAGGAGTCCAATGAAGACACCGAAGAATCAGAGAGCGAGTCGTTCTAGCTCGGTGTTGTGGTGACCCCGTCCACCTTTCCTTAGCTTGTTGTTATCTTTTAGTTGTTGCTACGACCGTTCGCTAGTTGCTTGTTGTTTGCTTCGTGTGTTCGTTCTTGTTTGCTAGTTTTGTGGAGTAGTTAGCTTTGTCGGTTGTGTTAGGAGTTAGTTGTATAGATCTTTGGTGTTGGTTAGAAGTTTTGTGGTTGTTTGGCTGAGAGTTTGTATGCTCAATGTTCTCCGTTGGTTATTTGTTTCAATCCTTTCAATGCTACGATTTCTTGCTTGTTCTTGGTATCATTTGGATCCTTTAAGTTTTGACCAAAAGGATATTCTTGACACTCTTGTCACATTGTTGTTTCATTCTACCGTTTTGTTTTGATTTGTCGTACCCAAGCTTCGGGGACGAAGTTTCTTTTAAGGGGGAGAGGATGTGACACCCCGCAAATCTAAATTCTATTTAGGGATTAATTAAGTAATTAATCCTAATTTAATTGGTGATTTATTCTTTTAATTCCTGAAAATTCAATAGTTGGGGACTAGTAATTGACTAGTCAACCCAAGTCAAGGTGTTGTACCTAAAGCTTTGAGAATAATTCCCTTGTTTCCTTACACTTCTTCATCTTAGTAAGGGCAATGAAGACATTTCACCTCATGATTGTATTCCAAGCTAACCTAGAAGACACCTTTCATTCTTTCCCTTACACTTTCAAAACATAAGTTCTTCCTTCTCTCTAGAAATTTAGCTAGCTTTTCCTCCAAGCTAAGTTGGGACTTTCCAAGATCTTCAAAGTTTGTCTCCAAGATTCCACCTTTCCTACTCTTGAGCATCTAGGAGGGTAAGATCTATGTTCCTTTTGTGTTTTTAGTGCTTTCTAAGGTATCTTTTTCTAAAGATGAAATCTTTATGGTCTTTTGGTGTGTTCTTGAAGTGGGTGTTGAAGGTGATCCTTGTTAGGAGCTTTGAGAAGTGTTATAAGTGAAGGTTTAGTCTTCAAGAGGTAACCCATGCTTTACAAAATCTATTTTACTTACCTATATGATGATTTCTTGGATTCTACTTGTGATTTTGCTATGAAATTTGAGTGTTGATGCATTGTCTCATGAAAATGCATATCTAGAGCTTGTTATTAGGGTTCTTGTATGCCATTGCTTGGTTATTCCTTTTATTCAAGTCATTTTGTTGTATTTGGTGAGATTTTGGATGTTTTGGACTTGAATTTGAGCTTGGTGTTGAAAATCCCCAAAGAGATTATTTTGTTCAGGGCATGGTACCCACGGGCGGAACGACGGGTAGGAGTCCACCCGCCGCCCCACCCGCGGGGTACATTGGTTGTGGGATATGGTTCCCGCGGGCGGAACCACGGGTGGGGGTCCACCCGTGGCCCCACCCGCGGGGTACAAGATGGTGTTGTGAGGGGATTTGTTCCCCGTGATTCTTTTGACTCGGTATTTGATGTTTTGACTTCCCGATGTTCTTTTGTGGAACTATTTGAGTGTCTTCTTGATGTTTCGTATGTCTAGAACTATATGGTACGATTCCATGTAGGTTTTGGTGTCTTGAATCGTGCTAAATGTTCAACCTTGTGATTCGTTGAACCATGATGAGTCTTGTGTGTTCTTCGGAACTACGTTTGGTTTACCCGTTTGATAAAGCATGCTAGTTCGGTGTTTAAATGCTAGCGTGTGTGGTTTGTTCTTTCCTATTGTGGATGATGACTTGTGTTGATCATCGTTGTTGTCGAATTGTGATCCTTTCCTTGTTGAGTATGGTTTCATATCTTTGTTGTGATCCGTTGATTGATTCCTATGATGGTGTTGTGTGTGTGTGGCTGTACCTGGATTGCACGATTAATGGAATGGGACATTAGTCACTAAGGTACGGCAGTAGTCCTCGTGGTGGCCATGACGTGATTATGGAGTTTGTGACCTGTGTGTCGGGTTCACGTTTTTCTTGGGAGGCATGTGTTGCCAAAGTGTGTGATCAGTACCCTCGTGTACTATGAATTGGTGGAAATTGTTGGCGGTTGTCGGCGGATGGGGACGACGATCCTCGGAGGGATAAGGTTGGACTTGGCTGTACAGGGGTCCTGGAGGTAATGGTTGGAACTAGCTATAAGGTTGGGGGTAGCCATAAGGTTGGAATCGGGAATAAGGAAAGAATATTCTATTTGTGACATGTGTTGTCACGAAGGCATGTGTTGCCGATGTGTGTTTCTCTATTTGTGACATGTGTTGTCACAAAGGCATGTGTTGCCAATGTGTGTCTCTTTATTCTCATTTGTTGAGCATGTCGGGTGATATTCTACTAAGTGATGGTAGAATACTCCTTGAGCCTTTCTTGTGTTGTCGTTGTTTCATCTTGACGTGTCTTGGGATGTGTTCCCCTTAATCTTGTTGTGAGTGATACAGAGTCTTTATGGTTGACTTCTATCTTTGACTTTGAACTTGTATATACAGTATTCCGTTTTGAAAACGATTTTGTATATATACTATCTATGTATTATACTTAACATGTATAGGTGGGTTACCAGCATTATTCGCTGACCGGGCGTCGTCCCATTTATTTATATGCTTTTCAGGTCCCGAGTAGTGGCGAGCGCGATATAGAGATGGCTAGTGTAGTTTCCCCCAGACTCTGTTTAGTTTTGTTATGGGCCTGTGTGCCTCTTGTGATGAATAATAGATTGTTGATTGGTTGACCTTGTGTAACACCCCGTGTTACGAGCCCTAAAACCAATTAATCATTTAACCAATTACCCAAAAGAAAGAATTAAATTACAGTAATTAATTAGGAAAAGGCCCACCATAGTCCGTGGGCCCTCATCTCTAAACCCAACCCCTAGTCCTAAAAGGAATAGAGTTAGCAAGCCTATAGTATTGGGCCCTAATTAGGACTCTTAGATATATAAATAAGGGACATAGGAGGCACCTAGAACCCCCACCACAATAATCTCTCACCACACAAGGAGTTCCAAGAATTCCCCTAGGAGAAATCAAGAAAGAAGAAAGACTTAGAGAAAGACCCTTCATAGCCAAGGAAATCAATTAAGGCTAAGAGGTAACCCATGTCTCAACAAAACCTATTTTCTTAGCTATGATCTCCATCTTAGACATCCCCCTATATTCTTGTGTCTTGATGAATTGTTTATGATATTGATGATGTGATCTTGATAATTGGTGATATGGTTTTATCTTGATAATCTTGATGATGATAAGGGTTTCTTGATGATTGTGTGATATTCTTGAGGAATTCGGATTCTTGATGATTATGTGATATTCTTGATGAATTGTATGGGTTCTTGATGTTAAAGGATGAATTACGTTCTTGATGATTTAAATATAATTAGAGCCCTATGATGTATCGTGAAACTCGTGTGGTGTTATTCTTGATATATTGGGTGGGAATTCGCATGTTTCGGCGTTAATTGTATTTAGGAAGCATGATAGGGTACGTGACGTACGTTTCTCGCTTTTGATCCGTTAATTGTCTACGTGGTGTCATCGATTGCGTTTAAAAGTGTCTAAGCATGGTTTCGGGTTCCACGATGGATCCTGGGGCATTTATTGTGAAAGAGAGTCAGTGGGGGGTAGGTGGGGGTAGGGGACCCGCCACCTACCCGCGGCCCGAATTGACGTCGCCGGCGGGCAGCCGGCGGGTGACCCTTCACCCACCGGCTACCCGCTGGAAATAATCCCACCTCGGGATCCCGGCTTCCCCGTTTGATGTTCCCCCGACCCCTGTGGTGTCCCAACGGACTTCGTTTATCGTTCCTATGTCTGGTTTGATGTTTCGGGTACCGCTCGTAGGATAAACGAGTCTTATATATTGCATGCTAGTTGAATTGGTATCCCTTTGACCTAGGTGAAAGAAGTATGAACCCCTTAAGATTATTCCTAGTATGTGAATGATCACGCATAGGTTTCATTATACGAATTCCCCCCCCCCCCCCCCCCTTCCCAATGTGTCAATGTGGGTTGCATGTACTTGTTATATGCTACGTGTGCATGATACCCCAATTTGGTTGCGATCAAATTGGTTATTCCTGAGCTGCGGTCAGATTTACACTCTCGGGCTGTGGTCCACCGTTTGGTTGCGATCAAACGTTTTACATGAGCTGCGGTTCATATTCCTTGCTGCGGTCAGATGACTACTCTTGGGCTGCGGTCCACTGTTTGGTTGCGATCAAACATTATCATGAGCTGCGGTTCATCGGTCGGTTGCGATCGACCCCTTTGTGTTGCGATACGAGGCAGGGTGCTGCGGGGCCGTGTCAGAGCTATATGCGCTGACCCTCATGTATGGGCATGCGATTGGTCCTGTGGCGCCATCAAAGTGTGCTATGTGATGAGATATGGATGGTTTGATGTTATGAATGTATGAAAGCGTGACCATAGGATACATGCTAGTAAACTGTATATGCTTGGTTATGACTATTGGCTGTGTTTATCTCTATCTGTCGAGTTTGTTCCCTATGCTAGTGAATTGTATATGCTTGGTTATGACTGTTGACTGTGTTTATCTCTGTCCGTCGAGTCTATTCC